ATAAGAGAGTTTGATACACAGTAGGCACTCAAGAATTGCATGGTTTCTGAGTGAGCTGATGAATCATTATTCATGAATTTGATGATAAATTACGTTAAACAACTGTTTAAGTTATTCTGAAAACAATCTTCCAATTCTATGGGATGCATGCCAAATAAAAGACTCTGATAGTACAAACAGAAGGTTATTATTGTGAACAATGAATAATAGACTATAAACAATAAATCCAAGTCTAGCATGGAGGAAAATTATACTGAAGACTTAGGAGTAAATGTTACAGTAATCATGCTTTGTTCATTTAACAAATATTCATAAGTACTCACTGGAAGGGTTGTTGTTCAGTCTCTAAGTCATGTCTGACTCTTTGTGACCCCATGAACTGCAGCACACCACAATTTCTTGTCCTCCTCTATCTCCAAGAGTTTGTTCAAGCCCATGTCCATTGTGTGCATGCTGCCATCCAATCACCCCCTTCTCCTCCTGCACTCAATCTTTCCCAGCATCAGGGTCTTTTCCAAAGAGTCAGCTCTTCACATCAGGTGGCCAAAGTATTGGAACTTCAGCTTCAGCATCAGTCTTTCTGATGAATATTCTGGATTGATTTCCTTTAGGATTGACTGGTTTGATTTCTTTCCTGTCCAAGAAACTCTCAAAGGTCTTCTGCAGCACCACAATAGAAAGCCTCAATTCTTCAGCACTCAGCCTTCTTTAGGGTCTAACTCTCACATCAGTATGACTACTGGAAAACCATAGCTTCAACTCTGTGGAATTTTGTTGGCAAAGTGATGTCTCTGCTTTTTAATATGCTGTCTAGGTTTGTCATAGCTTTCCTTCCAAGGAGCAAGTGTCTTTTAATATCATGGCTACAATCATCTTGTGCAGTGATTTTGGAGCCCAAGAAAATAAAATCTGTCACTGCTTCCACTTTTTCCCCATCTATTTGCATTAAGTGATGGGACCCCAGACGCCATGATCTTAGTTTTTTGAATGCTGAGTTTGTCGCTGTCCTCCTTCACTCTCATCAAGAGGCTCTCTAGTTACTCTTCTCTTTCTGCCATTAGAGTGGTATCATCTGCATATTTGAGGTTGTTGGTATTTCTCCTGGCAATCTTGATTCCAGCTTGTGATTCATCCAACCCAGCATTTCACATGATGTACTCTGCATATAATTTAAATAAGCAGGGTGACAATATACATCCTTGATGTAGTCCTTTCCCAATTTTGAATCAGTTTGTTGTTCCATGTCTGGTTCTAACTGTTGCTTCTTGACCTGCATACAGGTTTCTCAGGAGGCAGGTAAGGTGGTCTCGTATTCCTATCTATTTAAAAATTTTCCAGTTTGTTTTGATCCACACAGTCAAAGGCTTTAGCATAGTCAACGAAGCAGAAGTAGATGCTTTCCGGAATTCATGTGCTTTTCCTATGATACAGTGAATGGTCTAGTGGTTTTCCCTACTTTCTTCAGCTTAAGCCTGAATTTTGCAATAACAAGCTCATGATCTGAGCCACAGTCAGCTCTAGATCTTGCTTTTGCTGACTGTGTAGTTTCTCCATCTTTGGCTGCAAAGAACATAATCAATTTTATTTCTGTATTAACCCTCTGGTGATATCCATGTGTAGGGTGGGCTCTTGTGTTGTTGGAAGAGGGTTTTCTATGACCAGTGTGTTTTCCTGGCACTCTATTAGTCCTTGTCCTGCCTCATTTTGTACTCCAAGGCCAAAGTTGCCCGGTACTCCCGGTATCTCTTGACTTCCTATGTGTGCATTCCAATCCCCTATGATGAAAAGGACATCTTTTTCTGGTGGTATTTCTAGAAGGTCTTGTAGATCTTCATAGAACTGTTCTTCATAGATCCCTTTAGGTTCCAGTTTAAACCCATCATGTCACCATCACTGAGACATCCAGTCACCCTGTTCTGGGTCAAGTGCTTCCTCATACCCAAATCTTCTCCAAGGAGCCCTCTAAATGGTACACTCAGGATGACAATAAAAGTTTAAGATGCTTTTCACAGTTAGGAAAGTTATGTCTCATTTCTCAAGGATTAAAAAATTGGAACAGCAAAATCTGTCTCATAGGGTTTTGATATTTCAATTAGATAATGAATTGGAAATGCCTGACATATGGTGCCTGACATACAGTAAGCTCAATAAATACCAACTTTCTATATTTTACTAAAACCTCCTTTCCACTAATGTCCAGGCAGGTCTGTGACCTGATTTTTCAACTCCACATCAGTTCAGTAATAGATGCTTCTAGGAAATTTATTTAATCACTTGTTTTCCTGGAGATAGTCATTATTTTTCCTTATCCTTTTGGTGTGATATTTCCTCATATTTCCTTTTGGTGTGATAGCCAGCTAGCTACATTGATACACTCAGGGTGCTGAAAAGACACAGATTGAACACATGAGGTTTGACTTTGATTTCCATAAAAATAGTGAAATCAGGACAACTTGCATGTTTACTAGCTATTGGATATGATATTTCTGAATTGGATCTCCAAGATTTTGCCATTCTTATTAATGACTAAGAAGTGACTATTTTCACTTCTTTTTGCTTTATGAGCTTTTAATGTATTCTGCAGTTGATTCCTTTTTCAGTAATGTGTATTGCATATACAGCCTTCCAGAATGGCACTGGCTTTCCACTCTCTTAGCAGTGGTTTTTAACAAAAAAGACAATTAAAAAATATGCTTTACGCTCATTAGAAGCTTCCTTGAAAGTTTTATTTGTTACTTTCTTTAAAGACTTTACAAACGCTTTCCTTTTATGACTGCTATTGCTTGTGATGAGAAGACAAGTATTGTTCTTAATGATGTTTCCCAGAATACAACATATCAATTTCCCCTGCCTATTAGCACAATTTTTTCCCAATAAAATAGACCCTTGAATTTGTCTTCAAGACCTTGCAAGCTTCTGCCAAAACCACAGTGGTCAACTTACAGAACTCTTTATTCATCTTTATGACTTTCCACATAGCATTGCTCCTGAATAAGGAGCTTGTTTTATAGGAAGTCAAGTACAACAATGAGTAGAGGTTCTTGCTCTTCTAAAGAGGTTATGGAATGGGTATTGGATGAGGTAGTTATAAACACCAGTTATAATCATGTGGTCATTTGCAGTAACAAAACCTAGAATATTTATGAAATTATTTTCATTTTATATGAATATATTTATGTATACATTAGCCATTTTTAGCTTCCCTCTCCTCTTTGTCTGCTTCTGGTAACAGAAAATGTACTGCTACAAATTAATCTTATATCTCATTGTACCTCTGTAGTAAAGATACAGGGTCAATTGGAGAGTGTGATTCAGCTGGAAGAGGAAAGAACGTCACCCTTAAATAGATAAATGAATTTGGTATTCTCTTTGAAGGAGAGAGCTTGTTTTAGCTGAATAAAGAATAATTGCATCATACTAACAGGAAGCATAGTTTTCCTGTGGTCCTTATTCAAAGTTGTGGTGTTCAAAGAGGTAATGAATGTTTAGTTAACAAGGAGGGAGGTTAACTAGTTAAGCTATTTTGGTGGATTGGTACTGTCTCAACTTAATCTATTTCCCAGAATTTGCTTCTCTGTATTGTTCTGGGTTATGGTTGGCCATGAAAGAGATTTGTGTAAGATTTGGAAGGTACTTGTGATGAAGCATCCCATCACTTCATGGGAAATAGATGGGGAAACAGTGGAAGCAGTGTCAGACTTTATTTTTGGGGGCTCCAAAATCACTGCAAATGGTGATTGCAGCCATGAAATTAAAAGGCGCTTACTCCTTGGAAAGAAAGTTATGACTAACCTAGATAGCATACTAAAAAGCAGAGACATCTCGGACTTGGTGCACTGGGAAGACCCAGAGGGATCGAGTGGAGAGGGAGGTGGGAGGGGGTATCGGGATGGGGAATACATGTATATCCATGGCTGATTCATGTCAATGTATGACAAAAACCACTACAATATTGTAAAGTAATTAGCCTCCAACTAATAAAAAGAAATAAACAAGTAAATACAACAGAATAAAAAATAAATAAAAAATAAAAAGCAGAGACATTATTTTGCCAACAAAGGTCCATCTGGTCAAGGCTATGGTTTTTCCAGTGGTCATGTATGGATGTGAGAGTTGGACTGTGAAGAAAGCTGAGCACCAAAATATTGATGCTTTTGAACTGTGGTGTTGGAGAAGACTCTTGATCCCTTGGACTGCAAGCAGATGCAACCAGTCCATCCTAAAGGAGATCAGTCCTGGGTGTTCATTGGAAGGACTGATGCTGAAGCTGAAATTCCAATACTTTGGCCACCTGATATGAAGAGTTGACTCATTGGAAAAGACCCTGATGATGGGAAGGATTGGGGGCAAGAGGAGAAGGGGACGACAGAGGATGAGATGGCTGGATGGCATCACCAACTCGATGGACATGAGTTTGAGTAAACTCCGGGAGTTTATGAATGACAGGGAGGCCTCGCGTGCTGCGATTCATGGGGTCGCAAAGAGTCGGACATGACTGAGCGACTGAACTGAGCTGAACTGTGATGAAGTGGTCATGTTTCTAGGTTCCGCAAGTTGGTTCAGGGTTACAGAGACTATGGCAACTCATAATGCTGCTGGTCTGGTAGTTCAACTTACTATTGACTCACAACTCCTCAACCTCCCACCATATCTCTTACTCATGTTCTCTTTGTCTTTGACCAAGTAAGCACGCAGCATGATCGCATACTTCTGAAGTTCGTCCACTGCTGTGAGCCTGAAGGAGGTAAGAGAAAAACAAGTTTCAGTGTGTGTTGTGGGTGCCATTGTCCTCATGTACCTGTCAGTTTGTCCATGCTTTTTCCAGTTTGTCCACAGTTTGTCCAGTTGCCACATCCAACTTTCCTTCATAAATGGTACTTTAGTTGACTTACAGTGATCTCAAGCTCAAACCAGATACAAATAGCTTTTATAGACTCTTCCACCAGCTCTAGCCCCTGCCTGTGAATAATCCTTATAACTAATCTCTTATCATACATCACTGGTGGTTCTCCTCTGAATATGCCCTGACACGATGTCTAAGAGGAAAGGACTGTATGATAAGTCGCTTCAGTCGTGTCTGACTCTTTGCAGCCCCAAGGACTGTAGCCCACCAACTTCCTCTGTCCAAGGGGTTCTCCAGGCAAGAATATTGGAGTCTGTGGCCGTGCCCTCCTCCAGGGGATCTTCCCAAACCAGGGATCAAATCTGTGTCTCATATGTCTCCTGCATTGGCAAGCGAGTTCTTTATCCCTAGTGTCCAGGAAGCCCTAAAAGAAAAGGGCTAAGGAAATGATTTTCATGATGATTTCAGACTCTAAACTCAGATTTGTGATGTGAGGATCTTTAGGTGAAACTACCATTTTATATTATTATGGAGCAAGTCTTCAAATTTAGACAACTTTGCACATATTTTGTATGGTTGATTTAAAGTCAAAATTCAACAGAAGAATGTTATCAGGAGAGAGTTACTCTGGACACCTGTTTCCATATGTCATGGAAATAAATTTTATTTAGAATTAAATCCTCTGGTGCAGACCACAGATGAAGCAAAGGCAGGATTACCATTTCTTGTCTAGGATCTACAGGTGTATATCTCAGCTCTGGTCCTGCAGCAGAGGAGCTCTCTCTTACTAAGCTCTGGGGGTTTTGTTAGGCTTTTTCTGTTACCTCAAGCACTGTGAGTTCAAAGAGAGCACAGAAATACTTTGCAGAATCTTCCAGTTGTAAGGTTGAAATGGTGAGGCTGGAGGATATTTAAGTGATCTCTGAAAATTTATGGAGTGGCGGCCATCCCTTGTAAGGAAAATCATCTCTCCACTAGGAGGTTGCTTATACCAAAAAATGTTGTAACTCCTCCAACTTGTTTCACACCGACAGTTCATGGTGACTGCCTCTCCAATCTGAGTGAATATGTCTGCTTGATCTTGAATAACTTTCTGGGCTACACCAGATCCTGTGGGAAAAAAAATAAGAAAACAGAGATGAAGCAGTGAATAAAATAGTGTAGGAATTAGGCTCATTTCAGATCACCCTCCCCCAAAAAACCAAAATGAAATCATAAGATTCTTGCTAATTCCAATCCTCCTTTCCTCCCCAAGTCCCTGTGAAGCACCACATGCCTGTGTGCAGTCCTTTCACCCTGAACACTCACACCCATGTTTGGAAGTATCCCTACCAGAGAAGGTGAAGGCCAGGAACACCCAGAGCAGACTGGAGAGCAGCATGAGGCACGAATTCCCCTCACAAATGTGTTCAGTTCTGCCTCAAGCTTAGGGTTCAGTGTTTTTGTGTGCCTGGCAGCACATATGCATAATACCTCAGTTCTTGTGTGACTCCTTCAAACAGGAAGTGGTGTTTGTCATATTCATACATCATGTGGCCTGTGTACAGAAGATAAAAAACGTCTGACTCACCACAAACTTTTACTTTGTCTATTTTTCCTTCACTGGCAATTAAGTTAGGCTGATCCTGAAAGGGGGCACTGAAAAGGCAGTAATAAAGGTTTGAGCTGAAGGAGTTGAGGGACAAACTAGGTGTCATTCACTGATACATATTCAGGACAATTATCTTGCCATAGCATTTAAAACACCATTTGCTTTTTGTTTTTAAGCTTTTTATTAGAGTATAGGCAAAATGTTCATCTGAGGAGGCCTTACAAATAACTGAGAAAAGAAGAGAAAAGCAAAGCAAAGGAGAAAAGAAGCGATATGCCCTTTTGAATGCAGAGTTCCAAAGAATAGCAAGAAGAGATAAGAAGGTCCTCCTCAGTGGTCAGTGAAAAGAAATAGAGGAAAACAATAGAATGGGAAAGACTAGAGATCTCTTCAACAAGATTAGAAATATCAAGAGAACACTTCATGCAAAGATGGGCACAATAAAGGACAGAAATGCTATGGACCCAAGAGAAGCAGAAGATATTAAGAAGAGGTAGCAAGAATATACAGAGGAGCTATCCAAAAAAGATCTTCATGATGCAGAAAGCCACGATGGTGTGATCACTCACCTAGAGCCAGACATTCTGGAATGCAAAGTCAAGTGGGCCTTAGGAAGCATCACTACAAACAAAGCCAGTGGAGGTGATGGAATTGCAGTTGAGCTATTTCAAATTCTAAAAGATGCTAAATGCTATGTGTTAAATTATCTTTCTGCACACTATTCTAATAGAAAATATATGCAATAGAGATATTATTTCCAACTTACAAACAAGAAAACTAAAGCTCAAAGAGATCAAGTAACTAACTTGAGATCATACATATGGAAGGTAGCATAGTAAGAATCACAATATATATCTATTTGGCTAAGTAGTCTATTCCCTGGGATTCCCCAGTGGCTCAGACAGTAAAGAGTCTCCCTGTAATGTGGGAGACCCCGGTTCCATTCCTGGGTCAGGAAGATCCCCTGGAGAAGGAAATGGCAACCCACTCCAGTATGCTTGCCTGGAAAAATCCCATGGATGGAGGAGCCTGGCAGACTACAATCCAACGGTCAGAAAGAGTCAGACATGACTGAGTGACTTCCCTTTCACTTTCTAGTAGTCTATAGTGTTTGGAATTTGCCATGCGACCTACATTTGTGATACTCAGTAAATGTGTAAGTGTTAACAAAGTTACGTTCTAAAAATACTGGGAACCTACTTTGTGGTTATCCTTCCTAATAGCCCCCAAATGAGAAGCAGCCAAATGTTCAACATCTGGTGAGTGGATAAACAAAATGTAATTAATTTGTCAATGAATTTCTATTCATCAATAAATATGAGTGAAATACTATACTACAAGATAAATAAGATAAATAATTTTTTCTAAAAAATTATGTTAAGGAAAAATAACAAAACACAAAATTATATATTGAAAGTTCCCATGTATATGAAATATTCACAAAAGGAACTTATAAAGCTGTAAATTAGATTAGAGGTTGCTGGGGGCAAATGTGGAAGTAAAGGACAACTATAATTGGGGATGCAAGATAATTTACTAAAAATTATTAAACCGGGAATTCAAAATGGAAGAATTTTAGGGAATGCCACTTACACCTCAGTACAGTTGCTTAAAAATAAATAAGAATTTTGTTCTGTCTTACCTGTGTCACAGTACAGGAAGAATGTTAGTTTAATTCAACCTGTAGGTATTTATTTAAACAGTGATTTTGTCCACAATTTCCCCAGGACCTTTAAAAGTTATAAAAGCAACATTGTCTGTGAGCTCAAAATGTAGTTGAAAAAATAAAACACATCTAGGGAAAATTTTCAAGTACAAGATAGTATTAATAGAGACGGTTCAGAATATAAATCTACTTCTTGGAATCTGGTACTGCAGACTGACCACAAATCTTCTTTCCAGGTAACAACCAAAATAAGCAAAGTAAACAGTATGGTTGTTGTTCAGTAGTTAAGTCGACTATTTGTGACCCCAAGGACTGCAGCATTCTAGGGTCCTCTGTCCTCCACTATGCCCTGGAGTTTGCTCAAATTCATGTCTATTGAGTCAATGATGCTATCTAACCACCTCATCTCATCTCATCTCACCTAAATAGTATGGGACAGGTGGTAAAAATCAGAGCAGTGCCTTCTACCAGCTTAGTTGCTCAGTCATGTATGATTCTTTTCAACCCCTGGACTGTAACCCACCAGGTTTCTCTGTCCATGGGAATTCTTCAGGCAAGAATATGGGAGAGGCTTGCCATGCCCTCCAGGGGATCTTCTCAACCCAGAGGTCAAACCCAGGTATCCTGCACTGCAGGTGGATTTCTTCAGCATCTGAGCCACCAGGGAAGCCCATGAATACTCAAATTTAAATCATGTTCTGAAAAGAGAAACAGGATTAGAAGGTTTCTCAACGGCTAACATCTGGCTTACCTTCCCAAGAAAAGAAATGCAGCTACAGTTAATAAAGGAATATCTGAAAAGTCTCATTAACGTCTCCTATTCAGAAGTATAAATGTATGTTTGGGGAGGGGATGCTAGACGAACAGCAGTGTAGTATAGTGTTAGTTGCTCAATTGTGTCTGACTCTTTGCAACCCTATTGACTGTAGCCCACCAGGCTCTACTGTCCATGGGATTCTCGGGGCAAGAATATCAGAGTGGGTTACCATGCCCTCCTCCAGGAGATCTTGCGGACCCAGAGACTGAACCCATACCTCTTATATCTCCCTTATTGACAGGCAGGTTCTTTACCACTAGCATCACTTGGGAAGCCCTGACAAACAGAAGTCACTACAAATCAATTTCCTTTTTCTTTTCTCCAGATCACAGCAGTCAGCCCACTTGAGGATAAGATCATAAGAACATGACCACACCATTCAGAAAGCTCATTTGCTATGGAGCTTATTTCTGATGAGACGACTAATTCTTTGATAAATTTACCCACATATTGGAGGGGCTGTGTCCAAACCAGGAAGTATAGGCCTCCAACAGCAGGAAGCATTCCTTCAACTAATATGACAGAATCCTGAAATCTAAAACTATCATGATTATCTGAAATAGAGGCCAAGTCAATTGACCACTAGGTAAATTAAATAAATCTTCCTGAAGTGGCATGCAAGGTAGAAATGTTGACAAATAGAGATAAATTAAAATTAGTCCCATTTAATCTTTTACTTTAGAGTTTGAATACTGTGGACTCTTAGAAATACTTTTATCTTTTGCACTACACACACACACACCCACACACACAAACACATAGTCACATACATTGGCTTCCCAGATGGCTCAGTGGTAAAGAATCCACCTGCAATGGAGGAGACGTGAGTTTGATCACTGGGTCAGGAAGATACCCTGGAGAAGGAAATGGCAACCCACTCCATTATTCTTGCCTGGGAAAGGCTGTGGATAGCAGAGCTTTGCAAGCTACGGTCCATGGGGGTCACAAAAAAGTCGGACATGATTTAGCGATTAAACGACAATATATATTCCTGGAACATTTCTGGATCCACTTGCCCATGTGGGTCGCAGTGAAGCAAAATGCAGTGTTTATCACAGAGCACGAAGCAAGTAGCCCATGCATCCAGGACTCAAAAGTCCGGAATTCCCGGATGGCTTTGAGGAAAATGTTTT